CGATTGTGATTGGCTGTGATTACTTGGTCCTTCGCTTTGTAGCGCCTTTACTGATCGTTTGGCTGTTTGACTGCTCTTGGTTGTGTACTCCCCATCATGTCTTTATCTTCTGAAGTCCGGATTCCAAAGCTTGATTTTTCCACTGGTCATCCTGACATTTCCGGGCAATCTCATTCTGTGGCGGTAGTTATGAAAGAGCTGCCCAGTGTTGTCCGTCCCCAGGGTCATCCTGCTTATTTCCGGTTGTTCAAGGCTCCCTTCTTGCCCACTGACCCTCATGCCCTTATGGTGGATACACCAGATGTTGGGGATCTTTGGTTGTGTACTCAACCTGCTTCCAAATCTATCTGGTATCGAGGGACCACTCAGATTTGGGGTCAGTGGGATTGCACGGATGTATACACTTTCCATCCTGATCTGCAACTTCAAAAATACAACCTTGTGTTGTCTGGAGCCATGGAACATACTCATCAAGGTCTTTCCTGGGTTTCATCTTCTAGGAAGGCCTTGGTGGAGAAGCCCGTGTCTTATGGTCTATTTACCGGGTGCAGTGTGGCCAGGTTGGTTTTACATTATTTGTCTTTTATATTGGTTCAATTTGTGTGTTAGGCATATGCTCTCCTATTGAACTCCTGCAACTTGAGGTTGGTCCGTTACTCGATCTGTCTCCAGGACACCCAGCATTGTCGGATCTGTTGTCAGATCAAGAGATATTTCACTGTCTCCTTCCGTCTCGGATAATATGTCATCTCAGCCGATGTCTTTTCCAGCTTTCGGTGTTGATTTCAACCTTGATGGTGTATCCAGGTTTTCTAGTGCTCCTCCGAGTACTTTGACTAGTCTCACTGATTCTGATGTGGATTATATGGCGGCTCAGTTGGGTGTCATGGATATGGTTGCTGGGGTAGAAGGTGTAGAGTTTCCTCCTGGTACCAGTCAAGTCAAATGGGCCAGCGGTGTAGTTACTATGGAGCCTTGGATTACGCCTATTGGTCAAGATGGTCTGGTATGTTTTCTTCTGATCGGATATATTTTCTATCTTCATTGTTTTATAGGATGTTTTGGGTGTGCGTTCTATGGCCTCGCTCCGGATATATCCCAAATTGAGTCTAAAGACTCTTTTGTGTATATCTTCGATATTCGTGATTTGTGTAAGAACATCAATGATCCAGATTTGGAGGATCGCACTATGGTAGTTCAGCTTATCAAGGATAAGATATCCTGTGGTATTCCTGTTCTGGTCAGAGGATTTCCTCTTCCTTCCATTGAATGGGATTTCTCATCTGTAAATCTTATGAAGGGTTTTTTGCTTAATCCCGTTTCTATTCAAGGTATGATCTGTTTATTCTCAAATGAACGTATTCTTACAACTCTTTCTTTTTTGATTTCGGGTTAGAGGCTTGACTTCGTACAGCTTCAGAAACTTATACCAAGAGTCCTGTTGCGGATCTCCACTTGGAATTGAAACTGGGTGATTTTATAGCCGCCACCACTGAGCCAGATTCTGAGGATAGTCCGAAGATGTGTGGCAACTTATTAGACAGCTATTCTATTGATTGGTCAGCAATGCCTTGGGTTATTGCGCGAGTTCTTTATTTTCCCGGTTAATGTCTCTCTCATGTATAATAGGGACATCAACAAGCAAGCTACCGCAGTTCATCAAAACTGGCGGGACTGGCATATTCGACTCAATAAGAATGCTAAAGGAAAGGAAATAGCTGGGCCCGAGACCTTTAGTGGGCCACAGAGTATGCATCCTGATGGCTGGCAACTGCAGATGTGGGACTTTTTTTACTCGCATTCATCATGATGCGGCCGGTGCCGGTACTTGGATGGCTATAAGAGTGGGAGGGAAGATGTGGACTTTCGTGGACGTTTCTCAGCAGGGCATTCGATCTCGGGACCGTCTTGTGGATTGATTCTACCATGCTATGGATCTCTTTACAGGAACTCCCAGTCAAACTGTGCCTCATAAGGCTGTCACTGTTTGTTTGCAATGTGGTGATATTCTGTGAGCTTTAATTCACTCATATTTTTATTCTTTATATTTTATTGATGTGCCTGGTGCTTAGTATCCAGCTGCCCAATATTATGCATTGTGTTTACACTCCAGTGAAGAGTATCGCAACCAGGGGCCATTTCTACATGTATTCATCTATGCATCTTATGGAATTTGACTGTCGGGTGGACCATCGCAAGGGCGGATGGACTACTAACCAGGTTCATCCCGGTGCTTCTCATCTCATGGTCAATATGGCCCTGGCTCTCCCTAACTTTTCCGACAAGCCCATGCTCAAAATTCCTTTTCTGGGTTTAGCTTGCCTTATCATGGATAGAGACGCTTATGAGCCAAGCCTTGATGGTGTTGGTACAGGGGTATTATCCTCAAGACATTCAACATCGGGAGGAGTTGGGAGAGTTGGACAAGGCGAAGAAGATCATCCAGGCTGTATTGGATGCTAACAATATTCCTCTGTCTCAGGTCGACATTCTTCTGCAGTCTCTGGGACATGATTACAAAGATCCCGGTGATGAGCAGGTGGACTTGTCCTGTCTTTGAGAGTGGGACACTATCTGTGTGGATGAAGATTATCGTCAGGTTTTGAAGGACGTGGTTTGGTATGAGCAGCAGAAGGTATCTGCTGCAGCAGCCTCTGGGGCTGGTAAAGTCGCTCATCAGCAGTTGAGGGAGGCTATCCAGCTTGAGAAGCAGTCTGTTCATGGAAAGAGTTCTAACAACTAGTAATGTGCTTTCTCTGTCTTTGAGTGTAATGTTTTGATTAGGTCAATTGTAGACATATTTTGCCTGAGCTTTATAATTTTTGCTGCTTTTGTAATCTGACCAGTCTCTCATTGTCTGTTACTGTTGGATTCACTGTTTCATATGTTTTGGGCTTGACTGTGCATCAGTAAGATTCGTCGCTATATGGTGTCAATTTTGAAGTCACTGCAGCTGGTAGCCACCAATGTCGACTGTCTCTTATATATATTTTGTAGTCAATCTGATGCTGCATTGACTTTGTAACCATCACTGTCGACTGCATTTTTGTAGAGTGTATTGATTTTGTAGTCACCGCGGCTCATAGCCACTGAGGTGGACTGCCCATTAGAGCTTTAAACTCTGCTGCTTACCGTGTGCAATATCCTTCGAGTTGATTATGTTCCCACGGTTGGTTTCCTTGTCTGAGTTGTGATTTCGGCACATTGTATCACTTTGATATGCAGTGTATTCGAGGATGCATGTTTATTCATTCCCTGCATTTACCTCTCCGTCACCGCGTGTTCATACAATTAAGGTCTGAAGCTGGTTGAAGCCTTTATAGTTGGTCCGACGACTTAGTAGCCACCGCACCTCATAGCCATCGTCGACTGCCTATTATATATTTTGTAGTGCGTCCGAGGTTGTATTGACTTTGTAGCCACCGCGGCTCATAGCCACTGAGGTCGACTGCCTATTAGAGCTTTAAGCAGAGCTGTTTACCATGTGAAATATCCTTCGGGAGATTCTGTTCCCACGATGAGCCTGGTCTTCTGGGTTTTGGAATCCCGTACTTTCTGTTGATGATTATATGCTATGCCTTGTACTGTGCATAGAGGCATGTGCGCTATATATTAGATGTTGTGTAGTTATTGTTCTGCTGTATTCACTGGTCGGTCAAAGCATATTAAGGTGGAATAGAAGCATCATCTCCGGTTACGAGTCCTGAGTTTACGAAGGATGAGTCCTTACCAGAAAAATTGGGTGCATGCCGAACGTTGTACCCGTGGGAATCAGTGTTGCCGAGAATGTGTGCCACTTTTGCGCCGCATATTTGAATACAATATTCAATTTCCGCTTGTATTGGAGACTACAAAAAGACTACAAAATCGGATTTGTAGTGTCTGTTTGCAATCACATTGTGTTTTCGTCTCAGGTTGTTCATGTATTTCCGTGGTTTCTTCTATGAAGATGTGGTTTTGGGTTATCCGTCTACTGGAATATTTCGAGCATTTAATCGTATCTCCTTCCTTTACTGCATGCACTTTGTTGTGTGTGGCATGTTGTTACTGTGGGAATTGACTTCTGTGGCTGTTTATAGTCGGTGGGTGAGGTGCCAGCGCCGGTTGGGATCTCTGGCTTCTCATTGGCTCCTGCTTACTATGACATAGCTTGACTGCGGAAAGTGCATTTCTGTAGTTGAGTGATGTCATAGTTGCCCACTTGCTCATTAGTCTAGGACGTGCAGCAGTTGAAGCATGTCAACTTGGTGGGATGTGCTTCCTGTTAATCCAATCATTACTGGTACATACACATTGATCTTATGTCGGTTATAAGAGGTTCTTGAATGTTGCACTTGTGTTCTGAAATAATACACTGACTGCTGAATAGTTTGACGGATTGTGACTGTGGGAATTAGTCTCAACATTGTTTGTTTTTCACACACATAGTCTGAGTCGATGTGTGGTTGGCAGAGACTATGATACAAGTCTCTCCGGTCACAGGCATCTTGGGCCTGTGTTTTTCAATCTCTGCTGCCTCTGGAACCCTGATTTCTTCTGCTCATTGGTCTCTATATGTCCCCATGAGAAACTGAAACTAGTACATGTGTAACATATATTTCATTTCTGCTGCTTGGGGTACTCTTTGAGTATCCTTTCTGATGTCTGACCTTCAGTTTTGGGGAAATGAATGCAAGGGAGCTGCCAATTGAAGATTGGCAGTGGACAAGCGCTCTGGCTCTGGTAGGATGTTACCTGGAGTCTGCAGGTATTATTGACTATCTCATCCACTGGGGACAAAAGACCTGTGTCACAAAGCTGCCAATCTTTGATTGGCAGCAGAGGAGCACTTTGATCTATGTTACTTGTGTCTAGTAGTGCAGCTGCTACTATCCCTTGCACTGGGTACAAATACAATTTTGTAGTCTTTTTGTAGCCACCAATACAGACCAACTTTTAATATGTCAGAGTGGCAGGGACTTTTATGGTACAATGATGGCAGAGCCACAGGAGGACAAAGTATGAATGAAGGGGACATTGCAAATGCATATATAAGGGATTTCAATATGTGCATAAGAAAGAGTACTGTGTACATCAATTGGAACATTTATACACCCAATGCTATCACTTATCAGACACAACTCAGGACTTGTGTCCTGCCATGCATAGCAATGGCCCTCTACTGACAAGTCGTATTGCGGCCTCATCTTGCATGATACATTATCTCTATGTCTGTAATCATGTACATTGGACTCCTATGAAAGACTTCAGCTCCTCGAAGCTGCGGCTCCCACTCCGCAGTCGCTCAATACTATCCTCTGAAATTGCCGTGGACGGCTTTGTTTGCTTTTTCTGGCATATTGCCTATCATAGATGTGCTCTCTTGACTTTGCACTCCTGGCGACTTCCTAACCCATCCACGCTTACCGGCTACTTACAGCCGGAGCAAGGAGAACAAAGCAAGGCTTGTAAATAAGGGCATGTAAATGGAGTCTGTGACGTGCATCCCGCTAGCGGATGAACGGGCTGTGGCTGTGGCTGTGGCTGCGACATATGGGCTGTCGCTGGTGTCTGCCCGTGATGTCAAACTCTGATCGCTGCTACCCAAAGGAATCTGTCACGTACAAGTGAAAGCCCCTCGATCCTCCTGAGCCTTCTTGATGTCTGCCGTGAACGTTTTGCTGGCATCGCTGCTAACCGTCGAAAGAAATCCTATCCTGGGTGGGTCAGCCGAAGGATGCGTCAAATTCCCAAAGTAGAACGCAATAAGATTTCTGCATTCACGTCATCAGAATATTGTAAAGGGGGAGAGGAGCTCGATGTAGTTCTCACGACTTGAAGAACGTATCGCCTAGAACCCAACTAAACAAGGCGCCTCTCTGAGCTGGATCCGTAGCGAAGCTATCGCTCGCCACGCAGGCATTATACACGGACGGATTTCCACGGAGCTGTTGACTGAGAAGATCCCGGGGATCAACGGGAAACATCTTCCCACCGATTTCGAAAGCCAAAGTATGTTGCGTATCGCATGCAGTCCCGAAAATCTGCTGGATGTTATTTTGCGGCCCTAGAATGAATGACGTGCCCTACAGCCCGAAGTGTCAGTAGGGCTCAGGCATCCGATGTGATGATGGATTTTCCGAGACTCACGCTGTCGATAAGGGCAGATACTCCCTGGGAGATGTTGCCAGTCGGATTAGGGAGTTTCTTGCCATCAAAATATACTGCGTCCAGCATTACCTCCCAGTAGCTATCAGGCAACAAATTAGTAAAGTTAACCTATGGCGATGTTTCCCAACATAGACTAACAGAGGATAAGTCTTGAGATACAACCGGTAAGCATCTCATTACGCGGCGTCTTTGATACACTCACCTCGCTGGGTGCGAATGATGGAGGAGCGGCACCGCCGTTCTCTTCCGTGTATAGCCGTACAGGTACCCATGTCAGTGACTTGTTATCGATACCGTTGGGCAACCCTCCCAAGGTTAATCTGCCGGGATTACTGCTAATGTCAATCACATCTCGCTGTAAAGCCAACTGTAACCACAGTTCTGAGCTAGGTTCACCCGCACAGTAAGGGGATCCTCACCGAGAACATCGCCTGCTCTAGTTGGCCGGAAACGGCTAAGCGAGATAATAGGGTGCCATTCTCTGCCATGGCTGAGAAGAACTGGTCCGCAAGGTTCCTTTGGCCTGATGCCAGATCTGACTATATTGTATATTATGGTGGAGGACTTGGTCTGAGGCTCATGCCACGTACCGAACTTCTTGCACTATCGCGTTCAATCGCGCTCCAAGGAATGTAGGTGAATCCTTGCATACATGCCATAGCTGCACGCGGATAACATACCTCAAGAGTGGGAAGCCAAACCCGACGATGCCTGCATCATTGAATTGATGTACCGAGGTATTAGAGACATTGACAGCCCCGAAAAGCTGATTGCTCATGCTGAATCCGGCGAATTGCACACTATCACTGTTGATGGACCCCGAGACCATGGCTCGGTGAAGAGAATCGCCGTAGTCTATTGTGAAGTTGAGCTCAGGATTCGATACTGACGCCGAAGGATAGCGAGGACTCGTTGTAGAGTTGCAACTCTGGGTCTTGCATGCATCTGTGATAACCCATAAATCACTAGATCCAGTGTCTATCGCGAAAATGGATTACAGTCAGCCAAGTACATGCTTCGGAACCAGGCAGTGCATCACCTAGTTGCACAGGAGTACTGATGTTGCCGATTTGTATGACTACATCATATATCCTGGCAACTTGTCAGGCGCAAAGTCAAGATCACGGGAGAAGCCCAAGACATACACGTCATACTGGTCCCCTAAGCCCATCGAGGTTATCTTTTGTGCACTCCTTTTCAGCGGCAAGACACTCGACCTCCCGCGATTCTGGGCGGTACTGAGCGTATCCTTGGTGAGTCTCGAAGGATCGAATCCTCCAGTAGATACTTCTCTATTGTCTAAGCCGTAGGGCAAGGCCCTGCTGAGTTGCGGAAAAAATATTGCAGACAATGCGAATAAAACAATGGTCAGATGAGCCATCAGCGTCCAGCGCAACAGAGAAGAGCTTAAAGAGAATGAAGATGGAGGAGCCGCCGATGGGAGCAAATACTCACCTTGAGGACGGTCTGCGAGGAGTTATATACGCATCGAAGGCTATGCGCGTATCCCACATAGACCTTTCTATTGACAGTTTGGATCATTTGTTGGCGCTAGAATGACGAGAGGACCCATCTGATCTGATGATGAAGACGACGCTGATAAGCGGTGAATAATCGCCCCGATCGAATTGTTCACTCGAAATTAGGGATAGCACACTAGACATAGCTCGAATAACCCCCGACGCTGAGACGATCGCCTTGTGTAGGATTCGGAGCGGCTGCTCAGCACAACTACTCCGCGGAACAGTAGCGTCGACATGAGAGTCGCTGGCTTTAGCTTCTCATAATGCGGGGATAGAAAAGATCCGTCTTCAGGCAACAGGCAGTGCATATGCCTTGAGCACTCATTTCATTTGCCGGATGTAAACTGTCCGGGATTTCCATTTTGCTCTTTAGGAGCTATTCCCAGGTAGAAAGAAACCCATGCCAATAAATCGTAGGCCACAACGTGGAACATCTTCCAATCTTGCGCGATATTCATGAGCTCGTTCCCGTATCAGCGAGATGAATCATAGCCACTAGTTCACTCATCGTTGCAAGTGTATCATTTCGTGCGAAGGTTCATGTAGCAGACCTCAGCCAGAGCGCGCCGCAAAGAACTATGGATAAATCCCGCTCGACCCTGCCCATTCGTAGGACTCTGCGGGATGCAAAGCTGCTTGTGAAGCCCGGTGTTCGCATCATCACTTTCTCTACGCACAAAAGGCGCACTGAAAATCCAGGAAAGTACACATTAAAATGTTCCGTGCCCAGGCACAGTTAATCGGTGGCCACCCCAGCTGAGCTGGAAGGAAGTGAGTCTATGCAGCAAGCTGTACCGCAAACCTGTGTCAGAGGCGGGAGGAGGGTCCGGTGCATTATTAGCAATTCGTTCCCACGCATTGTCATCGCCGTCGAGCGCGCGAGTGGCGTATTGCACTGATCTCTTGTCTTCCGCCGACCTCATCGCCATGGACGTCGACGAGCCCATGCCACCCGCCGTCGCCGCCAGCGCCAACGCCATTGCTGGCCCCTCCCGGTCGCACGACCCGCCCGCCCTCTACCTGCCCCCACCAGGTCTCGCACGACTTTTGCGCGTTCACTCCGTGCAGTTTCACTGACTTCACTTGTTTTCCATGTCTCGATCCGTGAACAGGCCCGCCGCAGTCAACGCCGCCCTTGACGAGCACCCAGGACCTCCTCGCCCGCTTTCGCCTCCTACCCGCGTACGATCAGTATGTCCGCCCATTCCTCACCACGACGGCAGCACCGCCGATAGGGTCTGCTCCGACACCTATCGACAAGGGCAAGGGCAAGGAGGTAGCTACGCCTGCCGCTGCGTCGACCCCCGGTGGTCCTGGAGACGGAGAGGAAGAAGATTTAAGGAAGAAGAAGAACTACAAGTATCTTATTCAAGGGATACCTGGTATGTGTCGTGCCACCGCTCCTTCAGCTCGTGACCGACGCAGGCCGCCCCAGGCAAGCACTCCATGAAGAAGGATGACTACTTGACGACAATGATGCAAGTTCCGCCCAAACAGCGGATCGCTATCGTGCCGTTCGATGCACGAACGCAGATTGATGCCTTCACAGTCCCGACGGGCGGGCTTGTAGGGGTGCGTTCATTTACCCTGCAATCATGTCACTGTGACTTAAAAATTTTCTGTCTATTTAGTGGAATATCAATAGCCTAATTGAAGAGTCGCCGCAAGCTCGAGAAGATCGAAAGAGACGAGTGAGTACCCACGGACTATTTGCGTGGGCTTTCTCACATCCTTATCCTATCTACAGAAAGAGATGAAGAGGCAGATGAAGGAGAAGGAGAAGAGCTTGGCCCCCAATGGCACTACAGTACCAGGACAAGCACCCGGATCCTCACGCTCGCAATCCATTCCCCCATCGAATCCCGGAGGTCCTGTAACAGCCGGGAACACACCTAGGACCGGGACTGCCAGACCAAACGTCCCTCACCAACAAACACAACTCCAGTCCACCGGCACACCCGCTGCGAACGGGACTGCGTCCCGCCTCCCACCTGCCACTAAATCCGCATCAACGCCAAGAGGCGCTCCAACTCCCTCGACGCCGAGCCAAGACCCCTTTAGTATCCGGCGTAGTAAGAAACGCGAGCACGAAGATAACGTTGGGCATGCGAATAGCCAGGGTCCCGGCGCGGGCGGCGGCGGCGGCATTGTCAATGGGGTTAATGGTCATGCGAACGTGAACGGGCAGGCGGGGAAGGGGAGTGGGAAGCCTGGTATGAACGGAGTGCGACCACGACCACAAAAGAAGCAACGAATTGTGAGTAATGCATTTCGCCTGGGGATTTGGGATGGAGTTTATTGACTTGCAGTAGGATATGCGGGGGCAGGCTAGGGAAATGCCTGTCCAGCAGCCTACGCCTCAAGGGGTGTAGCGCCTCGGAGGTCCATGGTGTTCGGAGCGGAGTCATCCGATGGAACGTGGGCATGGGATGAACTCCCGTAACACCCTTGGCGTATCCTCTTTCGACACGGAGGACTTCTTTCCTTCATTACATACCGGCATCCACTACAAAGCACAACACTAGCAAGCACGTACATACTCCTCACTGGGTTTGGATAATAAAGGGGAGCTGCCCTCGCTTTTGTACTATCAGCGATCAGGCCAGAATGAATCTGGCTTCATGATTTACCTCTGACGAATTGATCTCATCCTGTTGCGATCCTATTGATGAATGGCGTACGCGACTTTATGCTTGGACACTCATCATAGTTTGCATGAGGCATTTATGTGAACTAAGGCGATAGGCGGTATCTTAGTGCTACAGGCTGTTTCACACTGGAGGCTGAGAATAGTAAGGTTAAACGTTCACTCTTCCGCGTTGCTGCGCTTGTACACCGGCCGTCTGCTCCTGATACTCTCTTTGTATGATATCTATGGGACATGGCCAACAATCCCCGTCCTGCGCCAGTCATATCGGAACGTGCTGAAATTCACAAGGGCTGCAAATCCCTGGAGACGCTCGTCAATGTACTGAATGATTACTGTGAGGCTGCAAGTGCGATCGTCGCCCTCCAGAAGAAGCTCGCCAAAGCGCTCAGGGAGGCTGCTGGACTGAAATGTACGACTGAGATTGCAGGTGGGTTGTCAAGAAGTTTCTGCTCCGGTTCGGAGTCTGAGGGCCTTCTACCTGCAGCTAATGCGCTGAATGCGAGCGCGACTATATTCGAGGCACTTTCCGATGTCGATACCAAGTTCGCGAAGGTTGCGGATAAGGAGTGCGATGGGCTCAGTAACGAAGTGAAGAAGTGGTTCAAGAAGCTGGCGGTAAGCTTTACGCTTGAATCCCAACCTATATCGTGCCCCTTAGATGTACGTTCAGAAAGAGGAGAAAGCGCACGACGAGAGGATCGCGAACGCCAATGCCAGGATCAAGCAGGCTGGTACGTATCAAGTTTACTGCGCTCTTGTATAATCCACCACGTCCTTGCAGGCCAGCTGTACGAGAAGAAGTCGAAGAAGAACGTACGAGAAGCTACTGAAGAACACGCCCGCTACATCAACCTGCTGTCGGTCTTAGGGCCTGAGATGTCACAGGACAAACAGTCAGTCACTTACTCCCATCCTCATCTAACGTGAACTCAGATGATAGCGTGTCTGGAAACCCTTGATCCACAGCAACCACGCATTGTTCGTTACACAACGGTACACCTCGACGACGTACAACGTCGCAGCCGCGTTATCCCGAATTGCAGATGCCGAGTGGTTGCGTTCGTGTGAAGGAGTGAGGCGCTTCGCGCCGACTGTCGGCCAGCTTGGGGAATGGAGGGCCCTGTGTGAGGGTGGATGGGTCGGCGAGGTGCCCAAAGGTTTGTCAGACCCAGATGCCCAGCAGTCATTATCGATCTCCGCGGATTACCGGGACGAAGAGATGTCAGCTAAGGAGTACGAGGCGCGTATGGGTGGAGCCAGGCCTTTTGGAGTGGACGATGGTCTGCGGATGCCCAACGGGGAGCAAGGCAGGGAGCAGGGGAAGAGATCTCCGTCTGGGCAGTATACACCCCTTGAACAACCTCCGCCACAGTATAATCCTCCCCAGGGCAGACAGCAACCATCTCATACAAGCACTGACGGGTCTACCTCTGATCATGGCCGAAGCCAGGAAGACGGGCAAGGACGATCCAGCCCTCGATTAGCATTGGAATCCTTCCCTACGCCTCCCAAACATTTCCCCCTTCCACCGGTCGCTGGGAGCAGGAGTAACAGTTCCGGCCCTCCGTCGCCCGTTCAAAGTAGACCAGCGCATGATGGTTTGCAAGATTTGCAACAGCAACAACAACGTCAATCGCAGTCGCAGACCTCGGTAGGTTCTCAACCGAGCTTCACCACTTTGCCTCGATTAGCGGAATCCTCCATGGAGGAGCTTCCTCCCGATGCCCGCACTGTAGCTAAGACCGATGCAATTCCGACACGGACTGAACTGCAGCCTAAGGACGACGAATCTGTTACATCTCCGGGTACGTCTCAGGAGGCTAATGGCCATATCACCGCCCCCAAGGCCCAATCTCGCCGTCCCCTGCCCGATATCTCCTCCTATCAGCAGGAGCAGGATAAGCGGTCGTCCGTGGCTGGTTCTGGTTCTGACGCCTATCGAAAGGGTGATATCTTGGATGACCGGGAGCTCGGCGTACAACAGACGGGCTCTGGGCAGGAATCGAAGGCTAGAGCTACTGAGTCTAGCGCCAAGTCTCGCGATCTTGGTCGTCGAGATTCTGTCACGAGCAATGGCAGTATTGTTGCGACAATGCGCAGCCGCTACGATCGCGGTGTTAGTGACTTCTTCATATATTGCCGGTTTTCTCTTTCGCTTATAGAGATTCCCTCTAGAATGCTCCCGCCTCCCCGCCACCGAGAGAGGTTCCCAGACTACCTCTGAGCGTGAATGAAATCGCAAGTAAATACCAGACTCAAGGGGGAGAGAAGACGCCGACGTCTCCCAGGCCACGACCCATGTCCCCTCCAGCTGAGCGTGCGATGTCATACGCAGGTGAGAGCGGTCGATATCGCATGTCAGAGCTGCCCATTCGTGAGCGGACCATGACTATGATCAATGAGACTCGAGCACCCGCAGCTGCCGAGCTTGATGAACTCTCCCGGAGACGGCAGCGGCTACAGGAACTGGAAGAGCTCGAGCTCCGGGAGAAGGAGCTAGTACTTAGAGAAAAGGAGCGGGAGCTGGAGGAACGAGCGCGAGAGCTGGAGCGCGATCGTGCACGCGTTGTCGCTTCTCGGGATGCAAGCAGAGGAGATGGGTACTTCGGAGATCGTAATACCATGGAGCCCTCCATGACGGGGGCGCGGACGTACCGCTCCCAGCACGACGCCTCGCGGACAGCCTTCCCACATCGCTATTCGTATAGCACGACGCATCTCGCGGCACCTGCGTCGTCGCAATCCCCTCAGCATCAGCATCAGCACTCCCGCTCGCGGCCGACGACGCCTAATGATCCGTCGGCAGACCATGCTCCATACTGTGGATGCGATCGTTGTTCGGCGTCGAAGTATAGGGCGCCGGATCCTGCGCCGTCTCCCAGGGACCTCCGTCCGCCAGAGAGGCCTATCACACTCCGTCCGGAAAAACCGAAGGGCTGGATTAGGCGGTTGAGCATGCCTGTCGTGGTTGGCAACGCGTTTTCGCTGGACTCGAAGAAGAATGGGAGCTCGGCGAGCCTTGCGTCACCGTCAAGACGCAGCGGAGGCATGGCAGACGAGACGGGTCGGTTGCCTGTCGATTATACTGGGGGGATCAGCAATCGTGGCATAAGCAATTCTGCAAGACGATAATGCTGGACGTTGTAGTAAGTTATTTGTTGGTTACGACCGTCATGGCTATACCCTTTGATGTTGTCTGTTTCGTCTGCAATTTGGTTTGCTAGGAATGGGATGCTTTGATTATTTACTACTAATTAGCGTCAGATTGAACATACCTGTCCCAGACCGGACATACGTCCTATATGTTGTATATCTGTGATCTTTGGGAACATCCTACGGAGGAATAGTTATATGAATATCATGGTCACCAGCAGAGTACACTTCACTTAAAGAGCGATCATATTCAAATAACAGACAACCAATAAGGCCATTAATTCGGTGATACAAAGTCCATCGTAATGTAGTATCATGTCCAGACAAGCTCTCTCGCTTGAATTGTCCGATCATATCATACAGAGGTGGCGGTCAAACGAGCAGCCGCACACTACTACACAAGCATACTAATCCGCCGACTGCCACACCCCAGAAGGGAGCGGAGGGCCTCCAGGTGCCCGTCGCACCCGCTATTTTTTCAGATGCGACGGTGTTCGTGCCTACCATAGAGAGCCATTGACTGTAGTCCAAGACAGTGCCCGTCGAGGTCGGGATAACAGGAGTGATGACAGGGAAGGTGGGAGTGTACGTATCCTGGATGACCTGGGTAGCACCGGCAACGACGGTAGTATATTGGTAAGGAATGGCTCCAGTTGCGGGTGATGGACCAGGTTGGCCGACAACCTGCGGTACTGGCGTCGTCGTTGTTGTGGTCGCCAGAGTAGGGGTGGTGGTGGTGGTATCAGTGGTAGCTGTGGTTCTCGTCCTAGTGTTAGTTAAAGGCAATGTCTCGCTGTTTCGAAGAGCGCGATTAGCTATATGATCGCTCCTGTAATCAGAGGGGGACTTACAGCGTCTCCGTCGTCAAGAGGCCTTCAGCATCCTGGGTGACGGTAATCACTTCCACTATAGATGTCAAAGGGTTATCGCTGCAAAACGCGCCAAGGTCAGCCGGATTGACTATTGGGCAGAGTACACTGGACCACTCACGGGTCCGGGATCGTGAGCGTTTGCTGAGCGCCAACATAGCTCAGCAACGCAAAAAGAAACCAGAAGATGTGCGACAGCATGCTGCGCGTCGAGCACAGAGATGTTGCGTCGCCGTTGCTGGCGGTGGTGGTCGAAGTGAGCAAGATCCTCTTCTCAGAGAGGGAGAGTCGATTCCCACTGCGGGCTGGATGTGACGTCACATAACGAGAGCTGTAACTCGTCACGGGTCACATATTTAATTCGAACTCCGATAGCCGAATATGGTTGTCTCTCTTTCTAATTTTTCGATGATAGATGGATTCCGCCTTTGCTATCGATTGAGCGTCCCCCGCTCTCCTTTCGCTCTCTTTTCTTCTCGACACTTCTCCTCGTCGCTGCAGCTTGCTGCAAAGAAGAGAATGCCGCCCAAAAAGGCCCCGGCTCAGGAGAAGAAGACCATCCTTGGGCGCCCTTCCAACAACCTCAAGGTCGGCATCGTAGGTCTGTTTTCATTTGAAGCACGTTTTCCTCGGAAGCCAACGCATCCTCGTTAGGTTTGCCCAATGTCGGCAAATCTTCGTTCTTTAACGTTCTGTCGGACACTGGTATGTTTCCACAATTTCATGTGACGCTTTGGCGACTGACGAAAAACGCGTGCGTAGACCTGGGGAAAGCGGCCAATTTTCCCTACGCTACCATAAACCCCGAGGAAGCTCGTATCCCAGTGCCGGACCCGCGCTTTGACTGGCTCTGCGACGTGTACAAACCTGCCTCTCGGGTCCCCGCTTTCCTGACTTGCATCGATATTGCAGGTTTGACTGCAGTATGCCCATAACTCGCGCATGCCTATGATCGTGTGACTCAAGGACATGTTCCTTAGGGTGCGTCAACGGGTGCTGGTCTTGGTAACGCCTTCCTGTCGCATGTCCGCGCCGTCGACGGTATCTTCCAAGTCGTCCGCGCCTTCGACGATGCGGAGGTTATCCATGTCGAGGGCGACGTGAATCCCATCCGTGACATGGAGATTATTCAAACGGAACTTCGCTTGAAAGATATTGAGTGGGTGGAAAAGCATCTTGAAGGCTTGAAGCGCGGTGGACGTGCTTTGGGAAATAACTCACTTGCTGACAAGGCAAAGAAGGAGGAAATTGTATGTACGATATGCCCTTTTGATCGTGGTGTGCTCTGACTTTACCAAGGCCACCGTAGAGAAAGTCTTGAAAGTGCTCAGCGAAGAAAACAAGGATGTGCGCAAGGCTGAATGGTCGAATAAAGAGGTGAGTCAGATAGTCTCTTATCATGCAATCCTGGCTCCACTTTTGTGTGATGATAAAGAGCGCTAGCGCTCGAATTCTATAACCCAGCTCGTCGAGGCGGGAGTAACGCCCCAAATCCTATGAGATGAATTTTTTATCTGACTCCATTACCTACTTCTACGACTTGCGTGATCCAGTCGGCTGACTCGCTATTGTGACAGATTGATGTTGTTAACGGCCTCACTCTTCTGACTGCTAAGCCCGTGACTTACTTGGTCAACCTGAGCGAGAAAGACTACATCCGGAAGAAAAACAAATGGTACGTCGATGCTCAGAAATTCCCTGTATTCATCAGTGTTAAGTGAGTATGTAAAGGCTTCCTAAGATCAAGGCTTGGATTGATGAGCATAACCCTGGCGATCTCCTCATCCCATTCTCCGTCTCCCTCGAAGAGCGGCTAGCTCGGCTGTCACCAGAGGAGAAGGAGGAGGAGCAGAAGAAGATCGGGGCTACCAGTGCGCTCGGTAAAATCACCAATGCCGGATATCAAATGCTGGACGTGAGCTGTCTCTAGCCATCTCACGTTCAGATAGATAAGCTGACTATAGGGAACGTTAGCTGATCCGGTATTTCACTTGTGGACCCGATGAAGTTCGAGCATGGACTATACGTAGAGGCACCAAAGCTCCTCAGGCGGCAGGTGTGATTCACTCAGATTTCGAGAACAAGTTCGTCTGCGGTGAGATCATGTCGTACGACGATCTCAAGGAGCACGGCAGCGAAGCGGCGGTCAAGGCCGCAGGAAAGTTAAGACAACAAGGGAAACCATATGAGAGTGCGTGCTTCTTCCGCTTCCCGGTTTCGTCATCGGGGTCTGACTATGTCTTTGCAGTGCAAGACGGTGACATTGCCTATTGGAAGGCGGGTGGCTAATAAACCTGCTTTTGACGTAATAGAACCAATGTATAACCCTCTTGTGTATCTTAACCTCTGTAGCGATGGATGACTGTTTGTCGGGAAACGTTCATGTCTTGTGTTGTCCTAGGCCTCTAATGGTCGTGATGATGAGTTACATACCTCACGCAGCGGTCTCAAGTTTGGCGACGTGTTGGAGTGGTCGCATCATGATGGCTGAACCCAGCAGGAGATAACACTTAAACACAAGGAAGGTGTCGAACAGGACCCACAGTCGCCCACAACCGGTGAGAAATTGGAATTTCGAACAGTGGCGACCGCCTTATTGCGATTGGGCCTCGCCGCGATCGGCCTGCTGCAGCCACATTGTCTCAATCCCTCACGCCGCAGCCGCCAGCTCTGCGACCTCCTCATCTCCATTTCTGCTAGACGCGCGACTCGAATTCCTGCGAAGACCATAGTTGTTGCTGTCAGCTACGCTGAATGGCGGAGCCGGAGTCTATCTCAGCTGTAGCGGTTGTGGTCGATTGTTCTCTCGCAATCTCGCACGAGTGGTATTACATCCTTAATCAATACCTCCCAAGCATTATCCAGCGCATACACGGAACCACCCAGGGGGCAAGCCAGCAAGTAGGTAATCACTTTGCACCAGTTGTCCCTTCCAGAATAAGTCTGACCTCCCGCTTGATCTAGTGCCGGTTAGCCCTAATCACATACAGCACCGCTAGCAACCGCCCGAGCCCTATTGTCAGCAAGTTATTCTTCCAGCCACTTCGGCTTGCTCTCGGTGTGATTAGAGATGACCCAGATAGGCTCGGGCTGGGCTCCGTAGCTTCATGCGGCCGGGGAGCAGCTGTTCTAGAGGCTATGGTTGCTGCGACTGAAGTACGTGCTCCGAATCTCACGCTTCCGCCTTATATGAGCCGGTTTAGTAACTTACACGTCGACTAGATGTTCGATGCCTTAAGCATATCATTAGCGTCTACTAAGGAGCGCAAGCCTCTCCTACCTCAATCCGTCAACCAGTCGCCACCCAAACGCAATGTCCCAACAGTTACAGCACGGCACATCATTCATATCGCAGATTTACCTCCAGATGGTGCGAAACGACCATTGCGCAATACGTTTCCTAGCTTGGACAATACGACTTGGGACACTTTACCTGAAGAGTTGCGGAAGGTAGCGTCCCTGTTGTTTTCGCGACGAGCACTGACCGGAAGATGTTATTTGTAGAGAGACATCAATTGGAGCATGATAATGCTTCAGCAATCATCTACACGTCTCGCGGAACTACATTCAAAGGTGATCATACTCCAGTCAAGTGCGCCGCGGCCGCGCTTCTCATCTCTATATCACCGCTAGGTGGAAGCTAAAGATATAGTTACCCCCTGGTTTCCTACGTCGAACAAGCATTCCCTTCTACTGGTTGGCTTCCCTCAGAAAGGTACCCCTCGCTCCTAACACCTCACTCGTGGGCTAAGCCCGCTTTCTTCAGCTACTAAGCGTCCTGGAGATCCTCCGACTACACCAGAACCTAAAAGAGTGAAAATAAAAGACTCGTCTGGGACCCACTCTTCCCCCAACAACGCAAGTGCAAGTCCGTCCAAAGCAACGCTCGCGCCGTCTCCCGTGGTGCCCAAGGTCAGCTCATCACCTGTACTTCCGCCTGAACCTCCGGCGCCTACATCGCCAGCACCCCGACCGCAGCTGCCTGCGTCCAATATAACACCGTCACAGCCACCCCCACAACCTCAACCGCGCTCTACCGGTCCACAGAGACTGCCGCCTCTCGAACAAGTTGAGGCAGGGATAAAGGCTATGGAACGCGAAATAATGGTGTTGAGGTCTAAGTTGCCTGAATTAGAGGGGAAAGGTGCTCCGGAAGTCCAAGCGGTGAAGATGCGTTTGCAGCAGAGCATGGTCCGGTATACGCAGCTTCGGGGCATGCAGAAGGTCCTGAAGGAGCGGCAAGCCCCGGGACAGGGAGGAGGTAGTATGAATGCTGACCCTAGTGCGGGCTCGCAAACTGCGTCACCGTTTACAATGGCACAGAGCAATGCCCCGCCTCCCGACGGACAATCAAATCATGACGCAGCGCCCTCTGGACTCCCCATGGGTGCTCACCTTATGCACGGTGCGCAGGGGGCGCATATGGCGAACGCGAATCTGCAACAAGCTCAGAATCCCGCGAGTCAAATGCCCGGGATGCCTCCTACCAACGATCCCAATCTGCAAATGCAGATGCAGAAACTTCTTCATCAGCGCAACAATAGTGGGCAGCAGAATGCTATGGCGACACCGCAGCCCGCGGCGAACCAAGGTCAGGATCCTCCAGGTCCTCGCAACGCACGCCTACAGTGGTTCGGACGCATTGTTTGGGAGTTACCTACGCTAGGCGAGGTTTCCGCCGATATTAATGTCCTATCTCCAGGGAATCTGTGAGTGGTAGTGTATGCCTGCTTTAACTTCCGCAGACCGTGACGAGTGATTTGCAGAGAGGGTGAGCTGTGGCCCCGAAGCATGAAAGTGAAAATCATGCCAATGCCCCCGAAGGAGGATATGCAATCTTTCCTGAAAGATACCCGCGCTGCAGTCTGCGTTATGCAGGCTATGGAACCGGCGGACAACCGAAGACGTTTCACCATGTTCATGCAGGCGCTACTACAGAAAAATGCGGCAAGTATCTTCTTGATCCACCCTTGTCCGCCTGGCTAATAAATATCCTTTTCCTTCGAAGTATGCTTCTTACTCATGGCCCTATCCTGCCAACGAAAGCCAGATGAGCAACTTCCTGCTTATCTCTGTCGGGGGCGCAAAGTTCCCGATCTTCGGCGCATACTTCCGGACGGTTGGGCCACCCCAAATCCCGATGCCCAAATCAACACCGCCCATCGATTTGTCGAAACTGCCGAACCACATCAAGATGCAGCTGCAGCAATTGCCTCCGGAGCACAGAGCGCGGCTCCTCCGGGAGCTGTCCATGAAACAGCAGCGACTTGCATTGCAACAGCAACAGAACATGCAGATGCAGAACCAGGCTGGCCCTTCCCATCAGCCGAAGCTGGGAATGGGTGGGCAGAACCCGGGCTTCGGCTTCGGCAATCCGTCCCTTGGTGCCAACAACATGATCAGTGCCATGAATATGCCCAGTAGCGGCATGCAAAGGGTACCGTCCAATCTTTCCAACGCCTCGCAGGGTGGGCTTGGATTTAATCCGACAATGTTTTTTGCCCAAGGTCAGGCTCAGAGCCTGAATGCAGGCGGAGTACAGCCGAATTTCGTAATGGGTATGGCGGCAAACATGGGTATGGGTGTGGGTACCGGTATGGGGCAGAACCTTGGTATGGCGGGTGGCATGCTGCAGCAACAATTCTCTACGGGGGATACAGGGTTTGACCAGGGCGCCGTGAGCTACGAGATGCTTCAGTCATTTATGCAGCGGAACGTGGACAGCGCCGGGGGCGGAGGGGGTAGCTGAGGTCAGTCGTTATTCCTATGACATCCTTGGCAGACAGATGGTGGCTCGATGTACTTATAATGTATGAGTGGAGTGTAACTGTGTAAGAGTACAGTACCTTCCGTGACAGCCACCAATGAGAGTCCGTGAGAAAGAAGTTCATGGTTACGAGTCCTGAGGCCTGAGGCCCAGTGGAAATCGACAATATTCTCGTGTTTTTAGATATGTTCCTCTATATAACAGGTAGAACAATAGCTCTAAATACAGGGGAATGTAGTAAGTGGCACTTTAAATACATGGACTTATATTCTGATGATTTGTGCCGCTATCGCAGCTGGCGTGGCATAGGTTGGTAATAGATCTAAATACATCGAAAATAGCTGCAAAATCAGGAGGATATACAGTCGTGGTGCGCTGCGTATATGGGCTTCCCCGGTATCAGGAGTGAGTGGTAGGATATTCTTGTACTTTTACAGATATCCACATGTGTTCTCATATATTGCCCCCTCGCATGCCCATCTCGCTGTATTTACACTTATTACTATGATTTTATACCTTTTCATGATGTCGTTGTGACCCCCACCTCGCCCCTCTGTTTTGCCGGGGGACCGGCAATCCCACATCCCCCCGCTTCGCACCCTCTCGTATCCGATCCCCACTTCCACTATCTCTACACGCCCCCGCCCCCCACTTACTCCGGTTTGCGAGCGCGACCTGTCTCCCGTTCCATATGCTGTACTTGCAATGGGCACATACCTATTCAACCTGTCCTCAGGATCGCCTCCTGCGTTGATATTGAAGTCAGAATATTAAAATTTTGTAACCTAACTAACAATTACTCACTATATCTCTACACTCTTGTGCGTTCCGCAACGTGCCCCCTGCGGCCCTGCCTCGAGAATTCCGCGTAAGACAAGTCATATTGGTAAATAATTCAGAGCGCAAAGAGGACGATACCTTGTGGTTAAGAGGAGTGTGCGTGCAAACGTTTTACTGCGACGCGACGACTTTATGAATCGCGCGAGAGCGGCAAGTGATGTCATACCGCGATCAATGCAGCTAAATATACACCAACAAGTTGAACGCGGTAGAGTCTTGTAGAGTCCGCGATTCAATCCGACGCGGCCGACGCGCTCACGCAGGCGACACGCGAGGCATGCGCTCACGCGACGTACTCGACAGCAGCGCATCCCCGTGTGACGCACACCTGATGCAGGTAGAGTAGGTCGAGGGAGTGTCATGCAAGTGTCATTCAGCAGTCTGTGGCTTCCAAAATATACAGGTAAACATATGCAAATATATTTAAAGCATCTAAAAATACGAAAATATTGTCGATTTCCACTGGGCTGAGGCCTGAGGTATGAAGGATGAGTCCTTACGCTCAAAGTTGAGCGGTTTGCCAAACACCGACGGCGTGGGAATTAGATGCCGAGAAGTCGTGTGAATACTCTTCTGTAGTGGCTCATTACAAATGTGGATCTCCGATTTGATGTCCGGTTATAGTAATCACTACAAAATGACTACAAAATCAGATTTGTAGTGTCCCTTCTACTTCTGTTTGTCCCTCACTCATCACCACTGCATCAAACCTTTTGAGCTTTTTATTATAAGCCTTTTGGTTCATATCAGGTATCTTCACAAATATTTTCACAGATTTCCATGCACATTGTGGTGCCCTATGGACTCGTCTCTTCTGCCCTGCTTCTTACCGTGAGAATCAGCCATGGGTGCCCTTTGCTTACCGTGGGAGATGCCTGACGGAGTTCCAATTTGAGGTTGGTTGGGATTCCTGTATTCTGATTGGCTGATTACTGGCTTGTAGTGCACTGCCAGTCAACTTCAGAGGCATACTATGACAGGTGCTGGCTATGACATAATGAGCATGTAAGTTTGAAGGAAATGCAGTCCCATGACATCATAGCCATGGACATAAGGTTACATCTCCCCAGGTAAGGTGCAAAACAGTCACAAAAATGAGGAAAAATTAGGTAAAATCCTAGGAAATGTCAGGAACTAGATGTGGTGTTATTAGTCCTATTAATAGTACTTGTGCAACCTGAGAATCAAATGGATCCCAAAAAATGTGGAAAATGAGAAAGAAATGCAAATAAAATCCTGGAATTAGCTGTGGTATGCTTGGTGCTGCAGGGCATGAGTTGAGAGGAGCTCTGCTGAACCTTGAATATGTTGCACTTTTTGACCAACTGGCAAGTTCTGGTGTGCCATGTTTGGCTTAGGTGGCACTACTACAAAATGCAGACTTAGAATTGTCTCACATCCCTTGCAACTGACAAGCATTATCTAACTTGCATAGACAATGCATAAACTACTGTAAAGATCTGTATGGTGGCAATCATAATATATAATGGGCCCTCCATTGTGTTGCTAAATCTGCTACTTGTCATGGCTAATGTGGGCTCCCTTGCCTCAGGAAATCCTGGTCACAGCCACTATGTGGCTCCAGAGTGTGCCTCAGGCAGTCCATGGTTGCCTGTGCAGATGTATGTCATGGTCACTGTGGCCTCCAGTGCTATTGATGTTAGTAATGGAGGGTATAATGCTTTCTGGAGCAATGCCACCATACAGATCATTACAGTACATTGTGTGCTATAATGTAGCAGAATACTATATTGCAGTAGATATTCAGTACTGCATTATATCTCAACCTTGGTCTACCCCAATGGCTACATGCTCCAATCAGAATTTAGAAGGAGCAACCAGATATGCATTCAAGCTGGAGGTTTGGGGTTGTCAGCATATTGATAAAAATGACAGAGGGTTAAAAAATGATGTTTGATTAACAGATACCCATCCTGCACATTCCAGATGGCAGAAATGGAACATCTCTGACATTGAGGTAATAACCCTGTGTTTGGCTGCACTGAGAACTCAATCCTTCAAGTAAGTATGCTTAACAATGAAATATTGCAATGCTAGTACTAGTATTCTCTACAATGCTGTAGAGGCCAACACATAATCAGCCCATCATGCAAAGGAGGGGTAGAATGCCTGGCCAGACAGAGATTCCCAAGTACCTCAGGACTCGGCAAATGCCATGCAAAGCAGTCACCCTCCTCGCAGAAAGATGGTGCCAATGAATCAGTCATATGAGCATCCCCCTTCTGTAATACTTTACTGTGTGCAGCGTTTGTTTCCCTGTACTTTTGAGTACTAAACCTCCCTAATCTCCTCACTTGTAGATGCTTCCAACCTGCTGAACCCCCCTTCAGATGTGCAGGATAGACAATTTGATGTCAGTGACATAACAGGGCAGGAAATGGGTGCCTCGGCAAAAGTCTGGCAGACCTATGTCCAGGAGGGCTCCTCATATGACAAGGAGCAATGTGCTCTTTTGAGTCAGAGCATGTTATCTTTGTAAGTTTGGATGGAGATAAATGCTGTATTCTTTTCTCCAGCTGATAGTCTCTTGTAGGCAGCGCTCTTTTCTGCAGTGCTCTCCGCATTAACCATGATTTCTTATCAATCACTGAGCCCCCACCCTCAAGATGTGTCATTAGCAGCTCTCCAGGACATCAGTGCGGTGCTTCACACAACAGCGTCCAATACTATGGTGGTAGATACCACAAACTCTAAAGTGTCATTGTTCAAACCCTCAGCTGCAGCCATGTGGGTCAACACACTATGGTGAAGTGATCCCTGACTATCTTGACAGTCAAATCTATAATAGATGTTGAAGTATACAGATTCCTCAGTCTCGCTATTAGTCTCCCCATATTGAGCATCACAGTCTTAGTCAAGCAATGGCTGAGTACACTGTTGGTGGCACACAAGGTCTGCCTCACATATATGCACATCTTCGATTGTTCTGTCATGAAGGTGTTGTATCTTGGCGGCTCACTGGAACCATATACTGTACCATTTCGATCTATTCAGCAGGTGGTGTGATGTGTGACTCATCTGACCGATTCATCATTTTGGCATCTTAAGATAGGGCCAGTCCATACATGACTACCTTGGTCATGCCATGATAATCACATGTTTTGCCTATATATTGCAGGTTAGTGTAAGGAAATCAAGGAAATCATCGATAGAAATCACCACTGTCGAGCTTATAATAAGCTCCATGGGTCAAAATCCTTGAATGTTTTTTATAGGAACTGTCTGTATGTGCTGTATCTTTGATTCCTATAAAAACATCTGTGATTTTCTACCTGTGCCCAAAGTTATAAGACCAACCTCGTGCTTCCCCACCAAGTGTGACAAAAATAGTCACGTGATAGTAGACCTACATGAGCTGGCCCTATCTTTCTATATATGGTGTGAAGTGGCACTGCAGGCCAGCTTCTGATGCCATATATGGTAAGTCCCACGATCCCAGAGGCCCTCTGACCTGTGACAAACACCAGATTTCGTCTTTGGCAGGTACCCCTGTGACATGTGACTGCGAAATAGATCTAAATCATACAGTATACCCTGCCATCCCCCCTACTTCTCTCCATCATGCTATTTCTTCAGTCGCTCGATACTCGCAAGACGAGTGTGGGCAGTCGAGATCTGGTTACGCAGGGCGAGCAACGAATTATTCAACTTGGTCCGCAGGTCAATCACTGCCATTGACACCCTCCCATGCTCCTCCTGCAGGTTGCGCAGGTCCGCGCGCAACTCCTCGATGGCCTTCCACACTTCCTGCCGCGTCTGATCGTTCACCCTCTGTGCCTCATCTAACTCGCCGCAGAACCGCGTATTTTCCTCCCGCAGGCTTACCACATTTTCACGAGCCAGGATCGACTTTTCCGCAGCTCCATGATAGTCTGATAGAGACGTGTGAGTTGGTCCGGAGCTATGATAGTCTGATAGAGACGTGTGAGTTGGTCCGGAGCTATCTCGCTGCGAGGGAACGGAGAGATGAGGGAAAGGTCGGAGCTCAGCGTATGAGAGGGCGAAAGGAGCCTTTTTTTAATCTGCAGGTCGCAACGCGCAGACTGAGGACAGTCAGGATTTCAGTCAGGGGGAGGTGATAAGCCTCAGGATCATCTGACCCCCGAAAACGCGGACTCAGCACATCGTACAAGCCCTCCGGAGCGTACTCGACACAGCACTTACACGCCTCTAGGCTTCTATGGGCTCTAAAGAATTGCTCTATCTAGCTCCGGACTTCCTAGCATCCTTGAGGTGTACATGGATCCATTCCACGATTTATCTCCGCAAATGCAAGCTCCGGGGTGACTTAATCTATGCGACTTCTAGGTGAATTAGCTCCGGGGCCCGTGGACACTTCCATCGAGGGGCATCGTCCTCATTCCCACCCTCCAGCATACTCCCTCTCTCGTTTCCATCAAAATACCGAAGGTGCGGATGCATACGAGTCACCATGAGGCCACCATCAGTAAGCAAGCAGCCGGAGGTAATTAGCACGTGACCGGTGCATCACGCGGAGTGATGGGACCGCTTAGGGCAGGTGGCGGATCGTCGAGGCGACCTCTAGGGGCTGGGACAAGCAAGTGGGAGCGCAAGGGAGTCGTATGGTGTATGGTATAACGGAGGCAAGTGTTGAGCAATCCTGTGGGTAGCGGCGTTTATTTGTTATTTATCTCTGGACGATCGCAAAGCCATTCCTGTAGTATAAATTGTACAAAGTAGCGTACAGAAAAACAAGTTTCGACTTCACCATCTCAGAGAATTAGCATTACGATCTCAGCGACCTGAGAAGTTCGAAAGCGTCGAACTTAGCGAATTATAACCAATCCTAGCTTTGCCAATAGGCCTGACTCATCAAGTGAATTATCTCCGCCATCGATTCAATTAGCTCCGGTGATATGCACTGACACACAACAATCACCAAGGACCAAAGGAAATAAACCTAAACCCCGTGATATGGGTGAAGGCGGTCCGAGACAACTGAAGGGTATTTAATAGTTCGAGGGGGAAAGGAGGAGTAAGACGCCGTAGGGTAGTCCGTAGGAAGACCTAGAAAAATAAAACAAAACCTTGACGCCTGAAACAAACACTAATGGACGCTCCGGAGTATTTATCTCCGAAACGGCGCAAGCAAAGTCACAAACCACGGAACCGAGTGTAGGTTCGGGCCCACGGGAGTAGAAAACACTAAAAGGACTTGTTTAATTTTATTCCGCTATGTGAGACTCACCGGAGCTAATTGAATCGATGGCGGAGATAATTCACTCGACGAGTCAGGCCTATTGGCAAAGCTAGGATCGGTTATAATTCGCTAAGTTCGACGCTTTCAAACTTCTCGGGTCGCTGAGATCGTAATGCTAATTCTCTGAGATGGTGAAGTCGAAACTTGTTTTTCTGTACGCTACTTTGTACAATTTATACTACAGGAATGGCTTTGCGACCGTCCGGAGATAAATAACAAA